AGATAACAGTGCTAACGACTGAATGCTAATAATAGCCTAGGAAAATAAAACATATTTTCTGAAAATAAAAGCCTGGTGACACTGAGGTTAAGTTACATTAATAGTGTCTGTTTGAATGTATAATTTATTTGTCCTACTATCCCAACTGAAACATGATGAACAGATTGATACATGATCATGAAAATACTTAATACAAAATCAATATCATGTTGTCCCCAGCAGAGGGCAGCCTGCATCTATTTATGAGCACAAAGGCTTCTGGGAGACTTTGCAAAGTCAGAAACATTCTGAGAGATGAAGAACAGAAGGTCTAAAGTTTCTACATTTGCTTAATCAGTCCACAGGGAGATGGAACCTATACTTACTCCACCTCATCTCTTCCTCACAGTTTGTGTCCACATATGTTTTGCATGATTTTAAAGCATCACTGCTCCTCAGAGTTTAAGTTCTGATGTCACAGAGAGTCTGAACTGTTTTCATGCACTCACACTGAAAACTGCATCAGGATGAAGTTGCCAATAACTCTGTTTGTCATGTTGGGTTTTCTGAGTCAGGGTGAGAAGTTTTTATACAATTTATCAAAACCTGTTAAATTGTTATTTTCAGTGTAAATATCACTTACCTTGCCTTTTACCTCAAATCTGTTTTAATCAATGACTATTCATTTATTATAATCTAAACTGCTGATTCTCAAGATTTATATTTAATTTTTCATTTCAGAGTCTTCTGCAAACAATTTTCTGACTCAGACTGACAAATCCAAGTCTGTTAGTCCTGGAGGGACTGTGACCATCAGCGCCACAGGGAGTTCAAATATTGGTGCTGATCTCAGTTGGTACCTTCAGAAACCTGGACAGGCTCCCAACCTTCTTATATACCAGGCATCAACTCTAAACTCGGGAACTCCGTCTCGATTCAGTGGCAGTAGATCTGGTTCTCACTACACTCTGACCATCAGTGGTGTTCAGGCTGAAGATGCTGGAGATTATTACTGTCTGGGCAACCATGGTGGAGCATTCACACAGTGATTTAGAGCCGTACAAAAACCTCCTTCAGTTTGAGTGAAGTGAAATCGGCCTGCTGCAGGTGCAGAGGGTTGGTGAAGAGACTGTGAAGAGGATAAATGGTTCAGTGCACACAACAGTCATCAAGCAGAACCACAATGAATTTAAATAAAACTGAAACAGACTCACAGACACTCTTCCATATACAGTTTTTATAGTCACTTACTTGAATTTGTTTAAAAGTATGCTGGAAAAGTTAAATTCATTTTGTACTATAGCCACATTGTCTCCACCAAAAGCTGCATAAAACAAGATAAAATGACAGAAGGCCAAACAAGCAAATATTTCTAATAATTTAATCTGGGTGATTTTGTTCTCAAAATGCAATATAATTAGAAACTCATATTAAGCAGTGTTAAAAATATAATATTTATTTACAGTAAACCCTGTAAGTAAATGAAAAGCAGACAAACAGCTTTGTCATGGTTCATGGTTGCTGGTATCACATCTACAGTGCCCACCATCTCTGCTTAAGTGCCATTGAGCAAGGCACCGAACCCTGAAACTGCTCCAGAGGCACTGCTCCCCCCACACAGAGCTCCTGTCCTGGGCTTCAGTGACCCCCTCTAGCCCTCACACTGGCTCCTGTGGAGGGACTGGGTCTGACTGTGGTCATGATGGAGGACCTTGCAGGAGTACAGCTCTCCTTTCATCCAGCGCTCCTGGCTCAGGCTCAGGGTGCTGCTGCTGCTGTAGCGTCCGCTCTTCTCCTCCTCTGAGCTGGTCAGGACCCCCTCTGTCACCTCCGTACCGTCCACCTCCCAGCTCACCGTGGCTCCCTGAGGAGAGTAGCCGGTCAGCAGGCAGGCCAGCGTGGCCGAGCCCCCAGAGAGCTGCTCAGAGGATGGGGGAAGCAGAGAGACTGAGGGCCTGACCATGGGGCCCGCTGGAGGGGAGAGCAGAGACACACAAGGAGCAGATTAACTTCCTCTGTAGGACAGGCAGCTGAACATGAAACACTTATGATATATGACAGAGGTTAACACTACTGTGGATTAGCTGTGTGCACGATACTGTGATCAGACAGAGGCGAGGAGGTGAGACATGGGAGGAGTAAGTAAAACAAAAGGATAAAACTTGATTCAATTTTGACATTTATAATAATGAATCGTCTACTGTGGCACTGAGAATTAGACAATGAATGCAACATGACTTACGTGTAAATGTAATAGATATTTGTAATAATTGATCCTAGATTTTAACATCAGTTTGTGACAGTAAGTAATTATTCTCTGCAATGATTTTCTTGTTTTAAAAACATGATGTCTGTATTCAGTTAAAGACTTCGTCATCTGTCTGTTTCACTTCCTTTTCACCACTTTAAACTAATGAACTGTGAACACAAACTGCAGCTACACTGTACGTACAAAGAAACTCACTTATTTGTTTTAACAGCATTCACATCAGATTTTATACCTAACAATTGTTTAAAATAAATAAAATTGTTTTTGCCCAAATGTTAAAATGTTGCCCAGACAAATTTTGCAACCACACTTGTGATATTTTATCGCCAAAAGACTTTTATATTGTATTTTCTTTTCAATCAAATATCTGTTAAATAACATAATCTATAATACAAAAAAAAAATATGTATCTCTGCATAAAGTTTGCCAAAAAATGACATCAGCCAAGTTTGAATAATAATTTAAAAAATGAATAAAATACAACATATAAAATACCCACATTTATTTCTTCTTTTACCAAATTATGCATGCAAAATGCATAATAATCTGTATAAAAGAAATTTCTGGTACTTACAGTTTATGATGAGTTTCGTTCCTCTACCAAAAGTCCTCCACAGTGATACAAACTCATTAAGTGGCTGTACAAAAAACTCCTGCACTGTGAACAAGCATCTATCCATTGAAAACACTCTCTGATCTTACTAATAACACAGAAAGAATATATGTATATAAGTATTTACAAAACCTTTTTGGTGATGTAGATTGAAATTTGTGTATGAATAAAGATTATTTTTTACTTTTCTACATCTGTCAGAGAAATTATTACAGCCTCATTGTAACAAAGTAATTCTTTTCACAGTTTTATATCAATTATTAAATGATCAAATGCACATGATGCTTTTAAATAACAGTATTTTACAAACTCATATTAAACAGAACTAAAATGGTTTTATTTATCTACAGTAAACAACCTAAGTAAATTAAAGGCAGACAAACAGACATATCATACCAACCACAGTGGACACAAACTCATCTTTTAATCCTCAACTGCACTTCTAATATAATCTATATCTATTTCATTAAGATCATAGATGGTGTAAATCCAAGCAGTATTTCTCCTGATTTTGTGTCCCACGTTGCCTTCAGTGTGTTGAGAGCAGAGAAATAATTTCCATAGAGAGGAGGCTTTGCATCGTCAGCTGATCCTCCAGTGAACTGAGAAGGTTTATTGTCCTGTGAGTTCAACACTGCAGGACTCAGATCTGTCAGTCAACACAGCAGAAACCACAACCACCATGACTCTCATCACCATCCTCATCTGGACGCTGGCCTGCTGCTGTTTTACAGGTTCATTTACTCAGCAACATTTCAAACATGATGTGCTGCCTTTTCTCTCATTTCTTTCTGCTGATAAATGAATGATTTGTTTTTGTCTGCAGGATGCAGCGGTCAGGTGACTGTGACTCAGCCTCCAGTAAAGACATCTACTCCAGGATCCACTGTCACTATCAGCTGTAAAACAAACCAAGCTGTTGGAAAATGTAGCGGTATTGATTGTATGTTCTGGTATCAACAAAAGTCTGGACAGCCTCCAAAGCCCCTAATAAGACATGTCAGCATAAGTCATTCAGGAACACCAGCTCGGTTTAGTGGCAGTGGAAGCAGCTCTGACTTCACTTTGACCATCAGTGGAGTTCAGACTGAAGATGCAGCAGTTTATTACTGTGAGAGTGTCCATAATGGCCCAGTGTTCACACAGTGATTTAGAGCCGTACAAAAACCTCCCTCAGTAGGGATGAAAGTGAAAACAGCCTCCTGCAGGTGCAGAGAGTTGGTGAAGAGAAAAACTGGTCCAGTGAACACAAGAGTCATTAAGCAGAACCACAATGAATCTAAATATAACTGAAACAAGCTCAATAATGGTGTTCCATATACAGTTGTAAACTTCCATCCTTGTCACTTAATTCAGTCTCTTTATGAGCTAGCTGGTAAAGTTTAATTCTTGGTCCATAGTCAACTGAAAACCTTTTCTTGTACTGAAAACAATCTTAAATGAAAAGCGTCTAAAGGATTATTCTTCATATAAAAAATATGATGACTAATTATTTAATTCTCAAAATGCAGTAATTCCTATCAAATTGTAACAAAGTTATTCAAACACAACCATCACCTGAGTATAGTATAATATTAGGTATAAAAAGGAGATGATCAAGAAAGAGTTTTTCATAATGAATATTTCAGAAATAAAACGACATTGACTCATTATAATCCACAGATTTATTTAATGATGTTTAATGTTTATGCCACATTTTTGATAAATTAACAGTTTCTCTTGGAGTGAAACTAATATATTTAATTTCGAATTTGAAAAGTGAAGAACATAAAGAAGCATATGCAGAAGATCAGTATTAGAAAGCAACATGCAAACTAAACCACTGAGTAGAAAGCTATGAAGCCTGCAGAAATATGTGAACAGAGGAGATCTACAGCTTCATCAAGATCTCTATCAAAGAAGCAGCATCATTTCCAGACAGGAAGTGTCGCTGAAGCTCTACTCTGAGCAGTGGTCAGGGTCCAGGGTTTGAGTGACAGGGCTCTGTCCACTCAGACTGGCCACACAGCTCACTGAGCCCGCCTTCCTCCACTGGTCTGCAGAGATGCTCAGGGTGCTGCTCCAGCTGTAGTGGCCGTCCCCTCCCCCAGGACCTCCAGGCTGTGTGACACCCCCTGAGGAGCTGCTGCTGCCCCCCACCTTCCAGCCCAGACTCCAGGTTGAGGGGAAGCCCCCGCTGGCCAGACACACCAGTGTGGCACTGTCCTTCTGCAGCTCCTCTCTGGAGGGGGGGAGGACGGTCAGGGTGGGACGCACCACACCCACTGAAGGAGAGGATCGGGGAAGAGAGGGGGAGAAAAGAGAAAGTAATAAGAGTGAAGGCTTGGTAACAAATACAAACTACATACTAGTAATTTTCTATATTTGATCCAATAAAACAGAATAACTTGTGCTGCTGTTGCACTCATAAATCACTCAGTATCAGACCATCAGACACATGATTCAAGTGTAAATGCAACTGAAAAGGTAAATTGATGATGATTATTGATGACATCTTCATCTGTGTTTCATAATGTGTGACAGTGAATAACTCATCCCTGTGATGATTTTTTTTTCTGTTTAAACTGACACTGACACTCACTCACTCATGTGAATACAGTTAAAACCTTTGTCATCTGTCTCTTTCACTTCCTTTTCACTGAACCGTGAACACAAAGATAAGCTGCATTTACCGATAAGATCGTGTTCGTGTTCTTAGAAACTGTTTGAATGTTTAAAATTAATGAATGTAAATTCAAAAATTTAACTGATATTTATAAATTGATGTTATTTTTTTAACAAATGAAAATAGACAACGTTCTAATTTCAAGCATTTCTAAATGAATAATAATTCAAACTTATCATGAAAATGAACTATATATTTCAGTTAAACAATTTATTTTTTGTTTCTTTAACATTAAGATGTTAAATAAATTTTGGTTTCTGTGAGGTTTACTCTCAAATGGTGAGATCAGCCTCATTTGCTAAAATAACACAAATAATCAGCAACATACAAACACTGAACTGCTCAGAGTCTCATTCAATATTTGACAATAGTTATTTTCAGTATGTTGTATAAAATAAAAATCTCTGGTACTTACAATCAACGATGAGTTTGGTTCCTCCACCAAAAGTGTTCCACAGTGATACAAACTCATTAAGTGGCTGTACAAAAACCTCCTGCACTGTGAACAAGCATCTATCCACTGAAAACACTCTCTGATCTTACTAATAACACAGAAAGAATCAACTTTATTGAATATACAAAACCTTTTTAGTGATATAGATTGAAATTTCTGTATAAATAAAGATCATTCTTTACTTTTCTACACCTTACAGAGAAATGTATTAAAGTCTCCTTGTAACAAAGTCATTTTTTTTACAGTTTTAAATCAGTTATTAAATAATCAAATGCACATGAAGCTTTTAAATAATAGTATTTTACAAACTCATACTAAGCAAAATTGAAATGTGTTATTTATGTACAGTAAACAATGTAAGTAAATTGAAGACAGACAAATAAACATATCATACCAACCACAGTGGACACAAACTTATCCTTAAATCCTCAACTGCACTTCTAATATAAATATTTCCCTGTATTCCATTAAGATCATAGATGGTGTAAATCCAAGCAGTATTTTTCCTGATTTTGTGTCCCACGTTGCCTTCAGTGTGTTGAGAGCAGAGAAATAATTTCCATAGAGAGGAGGCTTTGCATCGTCAGCTGATCCTCCAGTGAACTGAGAAGGTTTATAGTCCTGTGAGTTCAACACTGCAGGACTCAGATCTGTCAGTCAACACAGCAGAAACCACAACCACCATGACTCTCATCACCATCCTCATCTGGACGCTGGCCTGCTGCTGTTTTACAGGTTCATTCACTCAGCAGCATTTCAAACATGATGTGCTGCCTTTTCTCTCATTTCTTTCTGCTGATAAATGAATGATTTGTTTTTGTCTGCAGGATGCAGCGGTCAGGTGACTGTGACTCAGCCTCCAGTAGTGACATCTACTCCAGGATCCACTGTCACTATCAGCTGTAAAAGCAGCCCAATTGTTAATTTGTTATGTGCTGGAGATGACTGTTTGCACTGGTATCAACAGAAATCTGGACAGCCTCCAAAGCTCCTCATAAAATCTGTGAGCACACTTCAATCAGAAACACCAGCTCGGTTTAGTGGTAGTGGAAAAGACGCTGACTTCACTTTGACCATCAGTGGAGTTCAGACTGCAGATGCAGCAGTTTATTACTGTCAGAGTTACCACGAAATAAACAGTGCTAGGGTGTTCACACAGTGATTTGTCGTCGTACAAAAACCTCCCTCAGTCAGACTGCAGAGACACTGAGCTGTTAGAGCAGGAACCGACTGCAGCTGCTGAAGAGGAAGAGACTCTGACACAGACCACTGAACACAGAGCTGACAGTAACCTCACCAAGCACAAACTTTATTCTCATCTCTGGTTTTCTTTTCAAAGTATTTTTAAATCATTTTTAAACTTAAGCAGATACTAGATACCTTAGTCCAGTGATCAGGCCTCTAACTGCAACAGCGTTGTTTATTCCATGCCCCAATTCAGAAAGTATTTTTTTGAATCACCTGTAACCACCTGCCCCAAATCATTCAGAAATTAGCTTTTATTTCTGAGCCAAAAATATGCTGCTTTAGACTTTTAGACCATCGTATTTAGAGAAGCTACTCGGCCCCAAACTAGTAAATGCCACTAGAATATTCCTATTGACTATATCTCTAGATGGTCATTATGTATTCTCAATTTTTATGATCTTTTGGCTCACTGTCTGCTGTGATCCTGATAAAAAAACATTTACATCTTGGACCTGGTTGCTGTTCTTCCAGCAAACATAATTCAAACCAAACTCAATGAACAAAACCAAAAACAAACCAAAAGACTAATATAAATAAAACTAATGTCCAAAGTCTGTATCAAATGAAATTATCGTTTAGAACAGAATACTTTGGAAACATGTTCTTACCAGTGATAGAGAATATTTCTACCAACATTGTTTTAAAACAAATGTCTCACACTGATAGACATACAAACCAATACAAATATCAAAATATACTATATAATGGTTGTTGATCCAGAGTAGAAGATACAAAAATAACCAGAATATCATAACATTTATTTTAAAGTATAGTATAGGATCCCTTCTCTTGCTTACTGGAACATTTGTCCTCTTAATCTTCCCCCAGTCTCAATCTCTACTCTGGTGTAGCAAAGAACAAATATATTTAATATTTGATCCCCAGCTCCTCTCTGGTCCCAATATTAATTGTTTTTGTAAACTTGGATTTGTGATGACTTCCGCACACACATTGTATTGTCCAATTCTAACTTGTGGTGACAAATGAACTCAAACGAGGATTACACTACTTTCTCTGACTGTTACAGTTTTAGTCAAGTCAAGTCAGTCAAGTCAAGTTAGCTTTATTTTTCAAAATATGCTATATGCACAACATACAGCACAGATGAAATTACAGTCCTGGACAAATATTAAATATGTTAAATATGTTTGTATGAATCTTCAGTGAGAACAGATTTGGCCTGAAACTGATGTAACTGCAGACAGATGATTTTCTTTAGAATTTAAACCAAACATTTTCTCTCCTCACACAAACACATATATTTGTTTGATGATGAAGGTGCTGCTTTGAATGACTGAATGCATCACTGCTCCTAAACCAGTTTAAGATGAACCACTGAGACAAGTGTGTGCAGTCTGTCTGACAGTGAGATTAATCATCATGATGATGTTACTGACTCCACTGCTGACCACGCTGCTGTTAGGACTTCAAGGTGAGAAGTAGTGAGTTTCTTTTGTGACCAGTTTGCTGTTATTGTGGAATCTAGGCTTTGAAAATGTTCAATAAATAGTCAAAATAAAAAGTTATTTTCATTTCTGTGCTAACGGAAATACATTTTCATGCACAAATTTCTTAAAAATGTATTTAAACTTTCATTTAATCTCCAGGATCAGATGCCAACCCATCTGTGACTCAGTCTCCTGTATCAAAGTCTGTTGGTGTGGGACAGACGGTCTCTCTGAGCTGTACAGCCAGTACAGGAGTTGATGATGATCTCAGTTGGTACCTGCAGAAACCTGGACAGCCTACCAAACTGTTGTTTTACAAAATAAGTAGCCGTCAGTCTGGTACTCCGAGTCGTTTCAGCAGCAGTGGATCTGAACCTGAATTCACTCTGACAATCAGTGGGGTTCAGGCTGAGGATGCAGGAGACTACTACTGTATGGGAGCATACTATGGCCCGGTGTTCACACAGTGATTTGTCGTCGTACAAAAACCTCCCTCAGTCAGACCACATACAGTTTGCTGTGTTGCAGCTGTGAGTTTCTGCATCAGACTGACATGGTCGACTGGTTCACTGACAATCACTCTGTAGTTTCAGAGGTGGAACGTAACAAAGTCTATTCACTCTAGTTCTGAGCACACTTTCCGATAACTGGCATGAAAGTATTTATATTTCATAAGACACTAGTTTCTTTACAAAGAATACAACACAAAGCTTATACTTGTACTTTCATTGAGAATTATGTAATTTATTTTCTTAATTTTAAAGTCAGTCAGAAAAACAGAAATACTCTGATGCATCTTGTACATTTGTACTTCCATTGAGAATGATACCATACATTTTCTTAAATGAAAATGATAATGTAAATGTTTTGCTCTAATGTATTTTTGTTTTGGCAGTTCAGGTTTTAGTTAGATGATAGATTCCCATCTTCAAGGTTTCCCTGTAGACCCTCTCAAAAGACACCATAACGTTACATCCTACAGAAATTATGTGAAGTTCATAATCAGTCAAAGAGGAAGTGAAAGTCAGATTTACATGAACATGATATCTGACTTTTGTTCCTCCAAGAATAAAACAACGGCAGATGTAACAAACAGTAATGATTTCTTTAAAATCCATAAAAATGACTATCAGATAAAACGTGAGAGCATGAAATATTTATTTCTCTGACAAAAGCACAAAGAATACAGCATGTGACTGTAATAAAGTATAAATGTTTAAGGAAAGAATTGAAGACAAATGAAATGCAGAATGTCACGTGTTAGTTAAGCAGACCTTCAATACAGCATGTTGGATTTGTTTCTAAGGGCAGAATTTGTCTCAGCAGATTCAGTGATGTTGTTTCTTTACTCTGAGCAGCGGTCAAGGTCCAGGGTTTGAGTGACAGGGCTCTGTCCACTCAGACTGGCCTCACAACTCACTGAGCCCGCCTTCCTCCACTGGTCTGCAGAGAGGCTCAGGGTGCTGCTCCAGCTGTAGTGGCCGTCCCTCCCCAGGACCTCCAGGCTGTGTGACACCCCTGAGGAGCTGCTGCTGCCCCCCACCTTCCAGCCCTGACTCCAGGTTGAGGGGAAGCCCCCGCTGGCCAGACACACCAGTGTGGCACTGTCCTTCTGCAGCTCCTCTCTGGAGGGGGGGAGGACGGTCAGGGTGGGACGCACCACACCCACTGGAGGAGAGGAGTGGGGAGGAGAGGGGGAGAAAAGAGAAAGTAATAAGAGTGAAGGCTTGGTAACAAATACAAACTACATACTAGTAATTTTCTATATTTGATCCAATAAAACAGAATAACTTGTGCTGCTGTTGCACTCATAAATCACTCAGTATCAGACCATCAGACACATGATTCAAGTGTAAATGCAACTAAAAAGGTTAATTGATGATGACTATTGATGACATCTTCATCTGTGTCTTATAATGTGTGACAGTGAATAACTCATCCCTGTGATGATTTTCTTCTGTTTAAACTGACAGAGCTGAAACACTCATGTGAATACAGTTAAAACCTTTGTCATCTGTCTCTTTCACTTCCTTTTCACTACATGTAAAATGAATGAACCGTGAACACAAAGATAAGCTGCATTTAACGATAAGATCGTGTTCGTGTTTAACAGGAATCACATTTTAAATTTTAATTTTAATTAATGAAATAAATAAATTAAATTATTTTTCAGTTAAACAATTTTGTTTCTGTACATTTTTAATGTTAAATAAATGTTGGTTTCTGTGAGGTTTACTCTCAGATGGTGAGATCAGCCTTATTTGCTAAAATAACAAAAATAATCAGCAACATACAAACACTGAACTGATCAGAGTCTCATTCAATATTTGATAATAGTCATATTTGCTATATGTTGTATGAAATAAAAATCTCTGGTACTTACAGTCAATGATGAGTTTGGTTCCTCCACCAAAAGTCCACCACAGTGATACAAACTCATTAAGTGGCCGTACAAAAACCTCCTGCTCTGTGAACAAACATCTATCCACTGAAAACACTCTCTGATCTTAGTAATAACACAGAAATAATTAACTATATTGAATGTACAAAATGTTTTTAATGATATGGATTGAAATTAGTGTATAAATAAATATTATTTTTTACTTTTCTACACCTGACAGGGAAACTATTACTGTCACCTTGTAACAAAGTAATTTGTTTCACAGTTTTATATCAGTTATTAAATGGTCAAATGCACATGATGCTTTTAAATAATAGTATTTTACAAACTCATATTAAGCAAAACTGAAATGTGTTATTTTATCTACAGTAAACAATGTAAGTAAATTGAAGACAAACAGACATATCATACCAACCACAGTGGACACAAACTTATCCTTAAATCCTCAACTGCACTTCTAATATAATCTATATGTATTCCATTAAGATCATAGATGGTGTAAATCCAAGCAGTATTTCTCCTGATTTTGTGTCCCACGTTGCCTTCAGTGTGTTGAGAGCAGAGAAATCATTTCCATAGAGAGGAGGCTTTGCATCGTCAGCTGATCCTCCAGTGAACTGAGAAGGTTTATAGTCCTGTGAGTTCAACACTGCAGGACTCAGATCTGTCAGTCAACACAGCAGAAACCACAACCACCATGACTCTCATCACCATCCTCATCTGGACGCTGGCCTGCTGCTGTTTTACAGGTTCATTCACTCAGCAACATTTCAAACATGATGTGCTGCCTTTTCTCTCATTTCTTTCTGCTGATAAATGAATGATTTGTTTTTGTCTGCAGGATGCAGCGGTCAGGTGACTGTGACTCAGCCTCCAGTAAAGACATTTACTCCAGGATCCACTGTCACTATCAGCTGTAAAACGAACCAAGCTGTTGGAAGTTGTGGTGCTGGTGAATGTATGTTCTGGTATCAACAGAAATCTGGACAGTCTCCAAAGCTCCTAATAAGACATGTCAGCATAAGACATTCAGGAACACCAGCTCGGTTTAGTGGCAGTGGAAGCAGCTCTGATTTCACTTTGACCATCAGTGGAGTTCAGACTGAAGATGCAGCAGTTTATTACTGTCAGAGTGCCCATAGTGGCCCAGTGTTCACACAGTGATTTGTCGTCATACAAAAACCTCCCTCAGTCAGACTGCAGAGACACTGAGCTGTTACAGCAGGAACCGACTGCAGCTGCTGAAGAGGAAGAGACACAGACCACTGAACACAGAGCTGACAGTAACCTCACCAAGCACAAACTACACATTCACACTAATAAATTAATAAAAGTTTTTTTTTGATAATCTTTATAAAATACATTTTTTTAATCTAATGCCACATTGCACTTGTTCATATTTACTGTCAAAAATAGAAAAAAACGTGTATTGCCTGATAATATGAACATCAGAAAATGTATTGTTCATGTGTTATTTATTATATGTTCCTTTTGACATATTACTATATAACTTTAAATTATAGAATTATTAGAAATTACCAAAATAGTGCCATTAATATTTACATAATCAATCCAACAATTTTATTATCAATTAAAAAAAGCACACTACTACAGACTATGTTTTATGTTTTTTTGCCCTGTGGGGCCCAAATTGACCCCAGAGTGAGGTCAATAATGTCACTGTGTAGGATAACATACACTTCTTTCTCTGTGATTGACTTTTTGGCAAATATTGAAATATACATTTGTTGATGAGATTATGAAATATTTTCTTATTTGGTGTAATAATACTTAATGGTCATTTTGTATCTTTGCTTTTTAGCAAATGTGCAAGTCTCTTTGTGGCCATAGGGAAGAGCTACCACTTTAATATGTTTCAACATATTGGATTTTAAAGGGCAGGGGAAAAGAAAGAAAAAACATTTAAGTGGAGAATGGGTTCATTTTGCAATCATTTATATATTTTTTTACACAGTGGAGAATGTAGGACCTCAAAATAAGGAAATAATGCGAATATCAAAATGTTCTTTATCAAAATTAGCATTTAGCTTTTGCATCCTATTTAAAGATGATCATATGTTTTTGATGTAAAATCTCAGTCATAAAATAAACGGGGGAATACATTCTCTGCATTTGACCCATTTTAAGTACTATAGGGAATGGGCACTGATGAAAGGGGAAACCAGAGCACCCAGAGGAAAGATGGGAAGAACATGCAAACACCACACAGAAAGGCCTGCCCCAACTGGGAGTCAAACCTTCAGGAGCTTCTGGCTAGGAGATAACAACGCTAACCACTGAACACATTTCTTTGTCCTACTATCACAACTGAAACATGATGAACAGATTAATACATGATGATGAAAATACTTTACAAAATCAAACATGTATTAAGTTATTGAACCTGGAATGCCAGCCTGCATCTATTTATGAGCACAAAGGCTTCTGGGAGACTTTGCAAAGTCAGAAACATTCAGAGAGATGAAGAACAGAAAGTCTAAAGTTTCTACATTTGCTTAATCAGTCCACAGGGAGATGGAACCTATACTTACTCCACCTCATCTCTTCCTCACAGTTTGACAAAGACAGGTGTGTCCACATAGGTTTTGCATGATTTTAAAGCATCACTGCTCCTCAGAGTTTAAGTTCTGATGTCACAGAGAGTCTGAACTGTTTTCATGCACTCACACTGAAAACTGCATCAGGATGAAGTTGCCAATAACTCTGTTTGTCATGTTGGGTTTTCTGAGTCAGGGTGAGAAGATTTTATACAATTTATCAAAACCTGTTGAATTGTTATTTTCAGTGTAAATATCACTTACCTTGCCTTTTACCTCAAATCTGTTTTAATCAATGACTATTCATTTATTATAATCTGAACTGCTGATTCTCAAGATTTATATTTCCTTTTTCATTTCAGAGTCTTCTGCAAACAATTTTCTGACTCAGACTGACAAATCCAAGTCTGTTAGTCCTGGAGGGACTGTGACCATCAGCGCCACAGGGAGTTCAAATATTGCTTATCTCAGTTGGTACCTTCAGAAACCTGGACAGGCTCCCAAACTTCTTATATACGATACATCAGACCTCTTCTCAGGAACTCCATCTCGATTCAGTGGCAGTAGCTCTGGTTCTCACTACACTATGACCATCAGTGGTGTTGAGGCTGAAGATGCTGGAGATTATTACTGTCTGGGCTTGCATAGCGATGGAACATTCACACAGTGATTTAGAGCCGTACAAAAACCTCCTTCAGTTTGACTGAAGTGAAATCAGCCTGCTGCAGGTGCAGAGGGTTGGTGAAGAGACTGTGAAGAGGATAACTGGTCCAGTGCACACAACAGTCATCAAGCAGAACCACAATGAATCTAAATAAAACTGAAACGAACTCACAGACACTCTTCCAAATACAGTTGTTACAGTCAATTACTTGAATTTGTTTATGAGTATGCTGGAAAAGTTAAATTCATTTTGGTGATTTTGTTCTCACAATGCTATATAATTAGAAACTCATATTAAGCAGTGCTAAAAATATAATATTTATTTACAATAAACCCTGTAAGTAAATGAAAAGCAGACAAACAGCTTTGTCATGGTTCATGGTTGCTGGTATCACATCTACAGTGCCCACCATCTCTGCTTAAGTGCCATTGAGCAAGGCACCGAACCCTGAAACTGCTCCAGAGGCTCTGCACTGCAGATGATGCTGATTGGTGCTCCAACCTCTTAGTTGTACGTTTGGGGCGTTGGGAGACACAGATTTCAATTACCTTAATGGGTAATAAAATAATAATTTCTTTCTACTCTTCGTAACATAAAAGACCAAACACTTCATAAAGTTATTTATCAGTTCAAGCTTTATTAGCAAAAACATCAATCATCAACATGACAGTTATTAAGCACACTCACATCTAGCTGCTGAGCTACACACATTACTCTCTAAGTTGTTGTTGTCCAACACTTTACAGCAGTGTTGTTCTCTGTCACACAAAGCTTTACTTTCCTCTACAAACATTAAAACTCATATTGATCAGAGCAGCAGGTTTGTTCCTCCTGCTCCCCCCACACAGAGCTCCTGTCCTGGCCTTCAGTGAGCCCCTCTAGCCCTCACACTGGCTTCTGTGGAGGGACTGGGTCTGGCTGTGGTCATGATGGAGGACCTTGCAGGAGTACAGCTCTCCTTTCATCCAGCGCTCCTGGCTCAGGCTCAGGGTGCTGCTGCTGCTGTAGCGTCCGCTCTTCTCCTCCTCTGAGCTGGTCAGGACCCCCTCTGTCACCTCCGTACCGTCCACCTCCCAGCTCACCAAGGCTCCCTGAGGAGAGTAGCCGGTCAGCAGGCAGGCCAGCGTGGCCGAGCCCCCAGAGAGCTGCTCAGAGGAAGGGGGAAGCAGAGAGACTGAGGGCCTGACCATGGGGCCAGCTGGAGGGGAGAGCAGAGAAACACAAGGAGCAGATTAACTTCCTCTGTAGGACATACAGCTGAACATGAGACACTTATGATACATGACAGAGGTTAACATTGCTGTGGATTAGCTGTGTGCACGATACTGTGATCAGACAGCGGAGAGGAGGTGAGACATGGGAGGAAATGAGGCTTTAAAAAATAAAATAAAATGATAAAACTTGAATTCATTTTGAGATTTAAAGTAGTGAATCTTCTTCTGTGGCAGTCATCATAAATCAGTTATTTGTAAATGTAATAGATATTTGTAATAACTGATCCTTGACTTATGTTTTCATATCTTATCAAGTGTGACAGTAAAAATTTCATTTCTGCAATGATTTTCTTGTTTTAAAAACATAATGTCTGTGTTCAGTTAAAGACTTTGTTTATCTGTCTGTTTCACTTCCTTTTCACCATTTTAAACTAACGAACTGTAACGCAAACTGCAGCTACACTGTACGTGCAAAGAAACTCACTTATTTGTTGCAAAAGCATTCACATCAGATTTTATACCTACCTAACAATTGTTTACTTTTCCAAATTAAAACATAAGACAATTAATATGTTATGTCTTTGCTCAAATGTTGCTCAGACAAATTTTGCAACCACACTTGTGGTGATATTTTACTGACTTTTTATTATATTTTCTTTTCAATCAAATATCTGTTTAATAACATCATCTATAGTACTAAAAAAATATTAATCTCTGCATAAAGTTTAGTTTAAAGCCAAAATATGACATCAGCCAAACTTAATCAATGACAAAAAGAAATTGCAACATATAAAATGCACAAATTTATTTCTTCTTTTACCACATTATTTATGCAAAATGCTGAAAAATCTGTGTAAAAGAAATCTCTGGTACTTACAGTGTATTATGAGTTTGGTTCCTCCACCAAAAGTCCACCACAGTGATACAAACTCATTAAGTGGCCGTACAAAAACCTCCTGCACTGTGAACAAACATCTATCCACTGAAAACACTCTCTCATCTTACTTATAACACAGAAAGAATAAACTATATTGAATGTACAAAATGTTTTTAATGATATGGATTGAAATTTGTGTATAAATAAATATTATTTTTTACTTTTCTACACCTGACAGGGAAACTATTACAGTCACCTTGTAACAAAGTCATTTGTTTCACAGTTTTATATCAGTTATTAAATAATCAAATGCACCTGATGCTTTTAAATAATAGTATTTTACACACTCATATCAAGCAAAATTGAAATGTGTTATTTTATCTACAGTAAACAATGTAGGTAAATTGAAGACAGACAAACAGACATATCATACCAACCACAGTGGACACCAACTTATCCTTAAATCCTCAACTGCACTTCTAATATAAATATTTCCTTGTATTCCATTAAGATCATAGATGGTGTAAATCCAAGCAGTATTTCTCCTGATTTTGTGTCCCACGTTGCCTTCAGTGTGTTGAGAGCAGAGAAATAATTTCCATAGAGAGGAGGCTTTGCATCGTCAGCTGATCCTCCAGTGAACTGAGAAGGTTTATAGTCCTGTGAGTTCAACACTGCAGGACTCAGATCTGTCAGTCAACACAGCAGAAACCACAACCACCATGACTCTCATCACCATCCTCATCTGGACGCTGGCCTGCTGCTGTTTTACAGGTTCATTCACTCAGCAACATTTCAAACATGATGTGCTGCCTTTTCTCTCATTTCTTTCTGCTGATAAATGAATGATTTGTTTTTGTCTGCAGGATGCAGCGGTCGGGTGACTGTGACTCAGCCTCCAGTAAAGACATTTACTCCAGGATCCACTGTCTCTATCAGCTGTAAAATTAGCGAACCTGTTTACATCTGTGGTGGAGTTGATATATGTATATTCTGGTACCAGCAGAAATCTGGACAGCCTCCAAAGCTCTTAATAAATCACAGGAGCAGACGTTATTCAGGAACACCAGCTCGGTTTAGTGGCAGTGGAAGCAGCTCTGACTTCACTTTGACCATCAGTGGAGTTCAGACTGAAGATGCAGCAGTTTATTACTGTATTAGTGACCACAGTGGTGTAGGGTTAACACAGTGATTTGTCGTCATACAAAAACCACCCTCAGTCAGACTGCAGAGAGCTGAGCTGTTACAACAGGAACCGACTGCAGCTGCTGAAGAGGAAGAGACTCTGACACAGACCACTGAACACAGAGCTGACAGTAACCTCACCAAGCACAAACTACACATTCACACTAATAAATTAATAAAAGTGTTTTTTTGATAATCTTTATAAAATGTATTCTTTTAATCTAATGACACATCGCATTAAATTCATATTTACTGTCAAAAAAAGAGAAAACGTGTATTGCCTGATAATATGAACATCAGAAAATGTATTGTTCATGTGTTATTTATTATATGTTCCTTTTGATATATGAAAATCTAAATTAACAAAATAGTACTATATTAGTATGTTCACCCTTTTTGGTTGGCACATTACATTTCAGACCGATTTTTTGTCAAAAGCCTATAAGAAGTTATCATGACATTTCATGATTATATAAATTAGCAGAAGAATTGTTCTATTGCATTCCACTATTTCAGCCCTGCCATTACAAAAATTACGGGTTGTGAAATTAATATTCGTTATTGTTGTTGTTATTTTTATTCCCATATCCTCATTTTCCACAGATAGAGGTTTCAGTAGAAAATATGCAACTTTGTACTTTCACAAAGTACATTTACTCAACTGCTGTACTATGGTATATTTTGAGTAAGTAGCTACATGTAACATGGTATCTGCTATATTATAGTTGTAGACCATTACATTTTAGAGGAAAATATACATATACCCTAACATAATTTTAACTTCAGATCTGTCTGTCAACACAACAGAAACCACAGCCACCATGACTCGCATCACCATCCTGATCCTTTTGAGGGCATTGTTCAAGACAAGGATTAAATGTTATTGGATTTGTTACAGGAAACGTAGGCAAACATTGTTTCAGGTCAGCATGGAGGCTGTGACGTCAGAGGAAATAGACTGACTGCAGAATTAACAATACATGCAAACAACACATGAGAGTAACTGGAACGGCTGATAACAATGGCAAACCATGATTACTGTGAACAGCTCTATCCCAATGCTTTTTAAAACTTTCACATTCTTCCTTTTGATTATTTTCCTGTTATCTACAGCCTTACATTTATAAATATAATTCCATTCGTAGAGATTTCCTTCTACAGCATATATATATATATTATAGCACCATGTTACCTTTGTCTCATCTATTGCAAACACATTCTCCTCAACAGCATGAGGGTTTACTGCAAGTTCACACTGACAACTCCAAGTTCATTTGAGGCACTTCTTTGGGCCAACAAGGCATTATTTACAAGTTGAAATGCCAAGTGCTGACGTCCGTGCAGGCCCTGACCTCTGCACTGGTAAATCCTAACGTCATGGTGAGATCAAGGGACAACGAGTGTCAAGGCATGTCCTGAACACTGAGGACTGGTGTCCTTTGGCCCCTGCCCTCTGATAATCCTGCCAGTACAGTGCAACTTCTTCACTTATACATTATTATGTCATCGGTGGCGTTTCAAACAGTAACATTATGGCTCACATGTGACTTTTAAAGGTTCAGTGTGCAATATTTAGGAGGATCTATTAGCTGAAATGGAATATAATACTAATAGTTATGTTTTCAGTAGTGTATAATCACCTGAAAATAAGAATCGCTGTCTTTTTGTCACCTTAGAATGAGCCATTTTTATCTATAGAAGGAATGGGTCCTCTTTTAAGGAGCCTGTACAGTAGCCCAGAATGGACAAACCAAAAGACTCTAGATCTCTTTAGCATTTTTCGCGACTTTCACAGCCACCATAGTTTTTTACAGGCTTGGAACAGGAGGGTGAGGTGAGGGCATTGTGACCTCCAACTACTCCACAAGATGCCGCTAAATCTCACACACTGGTCCTTTAATGCAACAGCTTTTATCTTGTTTACGTCACTATTATTTAGAAATTCATTTCAGTAACCTTTGCATGAGTAAAGTATGAGTATGACTGACTCGAGGATGTAGAACATACTAATATAATTCAAGCAAGTTTTATGAATGGGATGACATGGAGGCGGGTAGTAATAACTCATAATGAGCTATAAATGGAGGAGCTAATCAGCGCTGAAGTCTTGTCTTTAATCTCGTTAATGAAGCGGCTGTGGAGGAGCCTCTGTTAGCATGGGATAGGGATAATCCTTTTAGGCAATACCAGGAATCAGTGAGTCAACACTTCCTCTCCCAGACTGGATGAGTTCTTCAGTGAGAGACAGGACCCACATCTGATCAGTTTCTCTGGCTGTCCTCTGCCTCGGATCTTGTGGGATACATACTGATCGACCTCACTCTCCAGGAGATTCGGATATCTGTAGTCACTAAGGGGGGAGGGGGGGTCTTCTGGCATACGGACTGAGCAGAAATCATGATGGAGGGGTTCAAGAAGTGTTTTTTGCCCGTGAAAATCCGAGCATATGTAAAGGACTACTGCAAGAGGAATGGCCTGCTGACACTCTCGGTTCTTGCCGTAGTGACGGGCTGTGTGCTTGGATTTGTCCTCAGGTCGCTCAACCTGTCCACGCAGGTACGGATGAATGCATGGACAGAAAATTAACAGGAGGCAATGTGACTGTCTTTGGGTCTTACAGTCTTATGTTATGTTACCTTGATAAAATGTAGTGGGATTGTTAACATTGTGTGCAAATGAACTCAACATTTAGTATGGGAAGAACCAGCCAGTCTGTCCTGTTGACTTCTGTTGTGCACTGACACTGCAGATAAAGCCAGTTATGTCATAGTGAGAGTGGAAGCAGACAGAAGCAGAAAAGTGGTTTAACAGTGAACCCTAGGTGTCAGAAGAAGTGCAGAAATAGTTTAAGTGGCTATAATTAATATTTGTATATTAACATTGAATCACCTACTAGAAGGAGGACGTCGCTCATAGTGGGCTCCCCTTTATATTGCATCTTTTAACTCAACTCGTAACTTAACTATTCTCTCGTAGTGTTGGCCTGTTGCAGCAGGCAGATGTTTCATTAAAAAAAAATTGCTCAGCATTAAACAGCGGGCAGACCTGGTATCACACCAAAGCGTGTAATACAACCACCACAGTGGCAGTGTCATGTTGTTCCTTACCTTCAGGGCGTCAGAGAAGTTAGCCCTCATGGCTTTCTGCCAGAGAGTCTTTCTAACAACCCTTTCTGCACTTGGTTTGGATTAATAAATAAGTAACTATTGACTTTTGTCAAAGGTCTGTGTTTGACCCATTCTACCTCAAACCCCCTCCCTACACGAACTTTCTCGCTCTTTATGCTACATTCGTCTGTTCCTCCCATTGTTATCGCCCCCTGCTGGTACCATACCTTCATACGTTGTACTTTTAACACCGAGATGAGGCATTACATGACACTGACACGTTATCCTCTAGTGGACTGGTGGGTGTATTACACTCTTGGGTGTGATACTGGGATGTGCCTTTATTATTAAATCTAATATTAGGAAATTAGCTACGTGTGATTTCTAAAATACTAACAATTTGGTATAAGTTTCATAAACAGTGTTGTGTCATTATTCTTCCAGTGAATAGTATATTTAGTTCACACGTAAATCCACAAACATATGTTTAGGTTTAAGGCAATTAGATATAGCATAAAAGGAAATTTAAAGGTTAAGAAAAGCATAGGCCTATAATTAAGCCACTGAAAAGATCTTGAACATACGACTTATACTTGAATGAGACAGTTAAAACAATGTATCGATATGTTTTATAAAAGCATTGTGTTCAAAGCTAACAAAACTATGTTGGTCCTCATTGTCCTCATTGTTAAAAAAATCTAATACAATTTCATAGGGTTAGAGTTAGGGTGCACATATTTCTTGTCCATGTGCTGAATCTGAAACTTAAATCAAATAAAACAGTTAAAGGGAGTGTTTTACAGTGTTGCAAGTCCTTGGGTTACATAAATCATATCATTGTGTTGTTCTGCACACTACTTCACTCTACACAAGAATTTCAGTTAGGGGATGTTATTAGGATAGTATAATGGTAAAGTTTAAAAATTGTATCCTTTAATAGAAATACAGTTTACTTCAGGTTTTTGTCTCTCACACAGGCAAAGATCTACTTTTCCTTCCCTGGAGAACTGCTGATGAGGATGTTAAAGATGTTGATTCTTCCGCTCATTACTTCCAGGTAAGAAAAGAAAAAAACCTGTATTGTTTTACATCTTTTTAAGTACAAAGTTTTTGCATGCAGCTAAGTTACAGGGAGCATATAGCTAGGCCTCTCTCTCTCCCAAATAATGCTGGCTTGTTTGTATTTAAACCAATCACAATTGTCTTGAACGGCGTAAAGCTCAGATTGCAACATCAGTGCCCCTGCAAAATAGTGTTGGAAGAAAGTGGAAGGTATGGAAGCCAAAAGAGGGGCCACTGCAATTGAATTAGGCCGTTATCTTGAGAAGTTAATTTATCATGAGAAAATTACCTTTGTTATCTTGGAATAATTACGAGAACTCGAAAATGAATGCCTGGTTAATTTGATCACACCTGATGTCTGCCTTACGATCACTGTCATGACTGTCGAGAAGGATTCATAAAAGAACTGAAGAGTTATTACCAGAATGTACATCTGAGAGTTCATATTGATTTCTTGGCATTGAGAAGATTGAGATTTAGTTAATGATCCCTGCAATGTCCAGATTCTTCTCATGCGCTTTTTCTATTCCTATTTTCTATTTGGTCACTATGAAAAACAATACTAACTGGCCTGTTGCATGCCATTACTCCATGCATTGTTTATTAAGTTGAACCAATGCTATATCTATAATGTGCCATCTATTCATGTTGGCTTGGCACTCTCTCTGATAAACATTCGAAGCAACGAGAGGAAACAACCTCTTGTTTTCTCGTGATGATGGGTTGATTATCTCCTGATGACGTTTGTTTTCTCAGCCAATGGCAAGCCTATACTTACAGCCTACCTAGTGGG